AGTTACACTACCGGCCAAATTTGGCCCCCGGGCCTGAGTTTGACGCATGTACACTACAAAATTAAATTTAAAATCTATTGAAAAAAAAAATTAATATAAAGATTACAAATCATTAACCCTCCTGTGTACTGAGCCATAGGAAAAAAACGAGTCATGTTGGTTAACGTGGTAATGGCCTTTACTCAGTTTGAGTTATTGTTGCCACTTTTTAAAGCCTATGGCAAAAGCAAAGCGATTTATGTAGAATCAAATAATAACTGATGCACGAGAAAAAACAAGGCAGGCACTGCCAGGACATTATCCTGCTACTGTTTAATGGGATCTGGCTTGTTGGAACTTTCAACGACTGTACGAGTGTACAGTCAGACAACTGCAACAGTCGGCCATCGTTGATGCTCAGCCTACACGTCAGACGTCGCCACACCGATCCAGACCTGTAATCTCCCAGTCAACCGGTCGATTTATTGGTCAATACTTTCCAGCTTGACCACAATTATGATTAGTCGTTTTTAGTCGACTTTTATGATATTAATAATTAATTTAGGACAAGGCTACCAAAAGCAAAAAAAATAATTAAGAACATTATTGTAGCAAAACTAGGTGTGACTATTATAAGATGGTCCTGACTAAAAGTCTATAAAAACAATATAATGATGATGTCCTCTAGGCCAGTGGTCTTAAACTTCTGGCCCGGGGGCCACTTCTGGCCCATAAATGTCTCACATTTGGACCGTGACCAGATGTCAATAATGAGTTTTACCTTCAATTTATTTTCAATAATTGCCCTTTTTTAATCATTAAAAACCTATGTAGGTTATTGAGATATACGGATTTGAAAAAGAAAAATCAATTTGTACTAGCCCTTTTCAATATATGATTATATAGTATTTATATTAGACAAAAACGTATTGTTCTCAAACAGCAGATGATGTTTTTGTATGGAACATTGATCAATGATGTGCCTATTTGAGTTTGAGATCGCAACTCTAGGCAACCTGCTAAGGTATGCAAGTCTTGCTTACCTAGTGTTAAGTTGGTCAGCCAATGAAACTTCACTGGCATCGTGATGGCACAGCTCTGAATCTGTCCCTGCGGGTAGACACAAGGGCGTTAGTGGATCAGTTTTAGGCAGACATCCCCAACCTTTTCATGTCACAGACCTCTCTAATGCAGTATATTATGTTCATGGTGGAGCAAATAAAAATGATGTGAATCCCAAAAATAAAGTGCATAAATATATCACTTGTACGTCCTGTTCACCATTTCTTATCCAAAGCCTTTGCACATTTCTCTGTTTTAGATGATACTCAAAGAAAACCATTTTTACAAATGTTTGTTTAACTTTGGACTTTAACTTTAAATAATGACATTAGTAATTACATAATACATTGATAATCCTCGAAATAAAACAGTGTTTTTTTGTTTCTCTGTAGTACTCTTTAACTGACGGTCCATCCGTCTTGGCCAGTATGCACTCCTCTGTTCACTCTCCTCTCTCCTTATTTACGTAATATGTATGTCTTATATTTCCATTCTACAACTCAACTGTGTATACAATTGTGTGGGAAAGGGTAATAAAGTCTAGGGGGGTTGATAACAGTGTGGGGGAGGTTCGTAAAGGGTAAATATATACGTAAATAATATAATAACTATCTCGACTCTACTTCACGGATTTTCCCATTTCGCGGTGGGTCTTGGAACGCAACTACCGCGATAGGAGAGGGATCACTGTATTTTATCATTATTTATGTGATTTTTGTTTAAGGACAAATTAATTACACTATTTATAAAGAGTCGATTCATTAAAAAAGTGAACTTGCGCCGTGTTTTTTTCTGAGGTTTGCCTCCACCTGCTGGTGATATGCCATACCTACAAATTGATAATAAGGCAGTTTATTTTAGCAATATTAGAAGAAAAAAATATTTGAATTGTTATATCGATTGTCTGTGATGATGGCTTACCATTATGATTTTACACATTATTATACAAGGCTGATTATATACACATACATACAACATATGCACCCACCGCAGCTAAAGACGTAGACATGTTTACAAGCTACATTCTATTTTGATCACTGTATGGTACAACAAAATGATGTAGTCAATGATGAATTTGAATTTACTATATAAATAAAATACATAAAAATCTGACGAGATACTATTCCTCGACTACTTGATTTACTATAGTCACTTTCTTTCTCAGAAGTGCAACATAACAGTGTGCAACACAAGCATCGGGAAATATTGTTAAATCTAATGGTTCTGACGGTGCGAAAGTCACGAAATTCTGATTTTAGACAATAAACTATTATCTAATAAAGAAATTGAAAAGAGTTTGTAGATTTGGAAGACATGAATATCATTAATGACAAATTGAAAAATGTGCTCACATGAGACAGATGTAAAAAAAAACAAATACAGACAGATTGGGATTGTTTACATCAAGAGACGCAAAGAAATGTATGCATCTGAGGTCAAGTATTTAATTTACGCCTTAGTATAAACGACTATATACGTAATATAATGAGCTGTAACAGTGTTGTAGTAGATTATAACAATAACATTACAACAATACCAAATAACACTTATATGTTCTCAAAAATCAATTCCCTACCCTGTTGAGGTGATTTCGGATTATCCACATACTGTAGACGCGTGAAGAGGTATTTCAAACATACCGTACACCATTGTTATCTTGAGGTACATTTTCCTACCATTAGACGTAAACCAACCTTGTGTCCATGTCTTTTCTTTACCTTGAATCAACCAGGCCCCCGGTGCTCTCTCTCTCTCTCTCTATCTCTCTCCCCCTCTCTCATTCACACACACACACACACTCATGTGATATCCCCCCACACACGAAGCCTGACATGAAACTTGTATGAGCTCACATGTGCTGTGTGTGCCGTTACCTGTCTGCACCCGAGCCCAGGCCACCGCACTTCCCTTACTAACATCACAAATCTGATAACATACGCCACGCATTCCGCTGTCTCAACAAGTCAAAGTCATGTTTTACCATGTTCACGAGTGCTTTTGGCACGACCGGAGCATGAACATGACAGTGACATAAGTAAGACATTAGTTATGACAACCATTAAGCCAAATGGTAAAAGACTGGTGTCTCAATGTTTTTTCAGTTGTTTGTTCGACCTAGAGGGATAACTGGCGGGAGCGAGGAAAGAAGAGACGTAGATAAATGGCTTCTTTACTTACACATGAGCCGGAGCAAAGCGAACAACTTGGACAGAAAGGTCTCCGAGCCGCAGACAGCTCTCCCACCGCAGCTGCTGTGTCTCTGTTTATAGCCCTTTGTACGGGTGCGACGTGACGCTTAATATACACGTAGCCTAGCTCGGTTTCTCTGAATTACACCTACTGTTTATTCGTCTAACGCTGTGTATCTTTGGCTGCTCTCTGTCTCTCTCCGTTGTTTTATCATCGCTGTCTCCTGATGCATCCTGCCTGATACTCGCGCGCACGTTGCAATAACAATAGTGGGGAGACGCCGTGCGCGAGGCGTCTCGACATGCTGTAGCCAATGGGGGCGCATCTTTTACCGGGACCGCCTCCGTTAGCCAATAGCAGAGCTTCTCTCACAGCAGACCCGTGAACCAAGCGCTGTCTGGTTCGCCCAGATTGACAGGCCCGTGAGACTGTTTCTTTAAGGTGGCGCCGCTGAGATTAGTGTCCCATCCTCCACCGCCCAAACACACACACACGCTTGTCTCTCTCTCTCTCTTTCTCTCTTTTTGAGGACTGCTCGTATACATGGTATTCCTAGTCCCCGAACCAGAATAACTTCAGATTTATTTAAACCCTAATCCTAATTTAGTTTTAAATCCTCACCTGAATCTCCGTACTTAAACCTAGTCTTTTGTGTAGATAAACGCACTAATGGTTTAAATGTAACATAATCCCAACCTAAACCCTGGGTTTTATATATCAATTTCACTATGTAAGGGATCTGGAATAGTTTTAATCTTCCTCATTTTCCAACCGGCTTCTGGACACACCCTGAGGCCTAGTCAAATTCAGCAGACCTTCCTCATGCCAACCAGCAATTGTCAAAACACTGGATGAGATTTGTTATTGTTCCAAAAGTACGAAATACCCAAAGATCCCTAAAAAAACCCGAACTTAATTTAAATAGTTGAATTAAAGGTTAAAATGTCACCCACAGATTACAAGTGTGTTTGTCCATGGATACATAAGAATTTTTAGACAGTTAACTCAAAAAAGAAGCATTGGGTGATTGTGTTAGCAGTGGCAGCTGATCTACGTCTAGGCAAAGACTGACCTTTAGCCAGTTAACAACTTTAATCTGAGTTACACCTTACGTCTTAACCCTGAATTTGAAGGAAACCACAGGAAAAAAAAAAATGTTTTGACTCAGAAAGAACAGGTTATATTCCTCACAAGGACTCTGAGGACAATATGCACACAAACTAATATGGTTCTTACATGCATTTTTAAATAGTCACATATGTAAATTACAGTTTTAGATTTCATTTCATCATTTTAATATTTTTTTTATTTTTACACCAAACGCTATACTTATAGCATCTGTAATTTTAAACATTAAAGTTTAAGTTTAGTTTTTTCCTCTACCACATGCATAAGTCTTTTGGGTTTGCCACATATGAGAATTGTATTTTTATAAGTTAAGTTTTTGTTTCTTTCTTATGAGGCCATTGATTTAATTTCAAATCTTGTTTTGCTTTAAGGGCTTTGTTTCATTTTAATCGGCAGGTTAACAAAAGAGCAATATACAGCATTCAATGCACAGAAATAGAGTAACAATACAACAATAAGGTTAAAGTAGCAAATATCCTTCAATAATTAATCATTTTAAGGTGATAGATTTTTGCATAGAGCATTTACAAAATATGTCAGCAGACAAGAATTCAGTGGCACTTATAACAAAAAGTAAAAACAAGGGACACACACAATGAAAACGTAATTACACTGTATGAATAATCCAGTTAAACTGACTCTGTGATGCATTTGCCTAAGGCAAATACAGTATGCTATTCTTCTTACGTATGTGAAGAACATATTTGCCAGTGATTAGAGCAAAGCAAAGCAAAGCAAAGCAAAACATACATTTAGTGAGTGCATGACCAACCAGGTAATAATTATTTAAGGACCTGGCCTCTTTACATTACAATGTCCTGAAATGATATGCCTCCCCTGGTGAACTCTTTTCACAGTTTTTTCCTGTGCAGAACAGGGTGAGCACGGTCAGGGTTTACTCGGAGAGCGAGTTGTGAACACCCCAGAAGCTTCCAGCATCGTCTTTCTCCGTGCCGTCTCTTTGGCCACGTTGTGGTTGAGTCGCCTCAAACGTTCCTGATGACAGAAATATCGAGATTGATGCCTTGTTGAAGACATAGCAGTACCTAAAGGCTTACCAGAGGGTTCTGTTTTCCCCCTAAACACTGCAAAATAGCAATATTCTCTCTCAATAATTAAATGTTTATATTTAAGCCTTTACAAGGATAATGTGTCATTTACAGCAGCTCATTAATGTCAACATTAACATGATTTTTGTCTATGCCATGTGGAGGACAAAAGTCCTCCAAGACAAGGTGTCACTTACCACCACTTTGGTTAATTCTCGTCACATGAGAAGACATCAAAGAGAGACCCTCCAACCCCCTAATACACAGACAGACACTGACCTGAGCATTCTGCAATATGTTGTTTACTAGCACCACTCTTCGTCTTGCGTTCAGCAGCTTCTTTACATAGGGGTCCAAATCCAAAGCCACCTTCTGGTGTTCATTTATTCTGCATAACTCTGCAACGAATATACACACACACACACGATTAACTTTCCCGCATGCAAAGCTCAAAGTGATTGAATGTAGTACCGTGTATTACCTGTAGCGAGGTTGTCTATGTGTTCTCTTAATTCAACCTGGCTTTCCCTGCAAGTGATAAAACAATAAATATGAGTCAAGAGAAGATGCATAAATTTAAGCGTGAGTAAAAATGACAACTCAAGAAATGACTGCACTTGATTTTGCCAAATGAGGCGGCAAAACTGAACATTAATCTGCAATCCTAAATCTCACATTCCTCCCTGTTAAAAGGAAGTTAGGAAGGCGCGACTGTTGATCAATTTTTCTTTAAACAACTCTCAAAAGTGACATTTTGGAAGGTTTAAATTAGTTTTCTACTTACAGGTCTTAGTCCCGAGATTGACTACAAAACAGCTTTCAATCAAGAACTGAATTTGCCCTGAGGGCAATTAAAAAACTGTATGGCAGTGGTACATACACGTTAAAAGAATAAATATGTGCATATATGCATAAAAAGAAGGTAAATATTATATACAATTTAGACTATTTCGATAGCACCGTCACAAGTAACTTAAATAATCTCCCTATTCTTGTATTGGTAATTGGCTGCCCAATGCCCAAAATAATTTAAGAACGATTTTCATAGCGTAAGATGACAACTAACATCATCTATCGGTGTCAAAACCTCTTATAGTAATGGAATTACTAGTGTTTAATAGCAATGCTAAAAGCAATCTGTAGGTCCAAAACGATTAGCATCTGTCACGGGACAACACCGGGAAAATGGGGGGTGGGGTGCTAGGTGAATGTGGCTGTGTGTTAGCAACAAAGAAGCATTTACCTCACTGAGTGTACATGGAGGTCCAGCTGCTGGATAGCAGGCTTTAAAAGATCTAGAAGCCCCTCGGCAATGGCATCTTTACCTAAAGAAGCTTCCGCTACCGCCGCAGTAGCCATTTTAATCAACAGCAGAAGTAAACACAAACTGCATCGGTTACGTAGCTGGACCGGAAGTTGGGTCACGTAGCAGTGACGTCAAAAGAACCTCTCCATTTTCTCTCCGAGGATCCCGAGGACGAAGGAAGGCTGCACCATTTTAGGGAGCGACGGCTATTTAATAGTGTTATCGTCATTGTAGTCGCCTTCCAGCTACGTGTGTTTAGCTTGGAGGCTATTCCATTTTGATTTGAGCCGAGGAATAGGAAATACTACACACGTTCGTCGTGCCCTTTCAGCTGCTAAAGCTAACACTAACCTCCTGGAAGGCTTTCCAGTTCAACGACGCAACGATCACAGTGAGTGATTAATACATGTAGCTCTCATTAACTTATTGTTGCCTTACATTTTGTTTGTAGTGCCTCCAAAAAGTGTCTTAACATATAGGATTTAAGAAAATACTAGTAAAGAGAGACATTTTCTCCACTCGTTTTACATTTTTTACTCGAGTAATACGTCCTTTTGTGAGTGATTTTATACTCTCAACTTAAGCAAACACATTTGGGTTCAGTGAATTATCTGCAACACCGTGTGTTTCGGTGACCTTTTGACATTTACGTCCTAAATGTGGATTTTATTTTCGATTTTTATTTGAGTATTTTATTTGATTGTTTTGGAAATGTAACGTGTAATGTTAACATTTGAAACAACAAATTGAGGAAAAAGCAAGACAATAAAAAGAATGAACGTAAACATGGTTCACTGCCCTCACCACAGCTAAATAGAAACACCTGTGCTGTCTCTCTAAACTCAGCTCTCTGAGTGAGAGACAAACGGCAACAGATGAGGAGCTCAGTACTAGCTTGAGATAACAAATTAACTTTATTCAAATATCTTTTTTTCAAATGTTTTAAATATTAAGCATTTGACAGTCATAACTTATATTAATTACTTGAGAATCTGTTTGAAGGACAAAACCTTTTTTCTACCTACAAAGAGTGAGAGGTTTTTTGTGTAATTTGAAAAAAAAGATCAGATTTAAGATCACTCCCAGTGTAAGATTTTATAATTACAGACGCTAGCGTTTATATCTACATTTTCCACTCCAAACTAGGCCACATGGAATCTTGTCCCTTGTTGTTCTTCCCATTAATGACTGAGGCTACAGATTTATTCACTACTAAGGGAATGCTGTATTATTATTTTTTTCCATTAAATTGTTCTTCATCTGTCCTGTCTTTCACCAGATTTTGGAAAACTAAAGCCCTACCAAAATGAGTGCAGCCTCCTCCCAAAAGGTTGTCCTGAAAAGCACTACCAAGGTGTCACTGAACGAGCGGTGAGGCGCCACGCACCCTGTCAGCTGTTAAACACCAGATGAAAGGGCCAACCATGGCATATGACCATCTTATTGCTCTCTGTGGAAGGCTTCTGTTGGGGGCCGGATCCAACATGGATGCTATTCTGGCTCTCCTGATTGTGTGCACTGCTCACTCAACCTTTGTTTATGTTACGAAGGCAGTGGCAGTAGGTGCCGAAAAGCCACCGCTTGAGCCTCATATCTTGTGTGAGCAGTGTACACATGCAGATAACCGGGGAGGCTAGTGGTCATACTTGGTAAGCCTTGGTAAACCTATGCTAGATCAGACCACTCTCCTACAAAAGCCTCGGCATGACGCCCCTGATGATACGCAAGTATCTCCATGTAGAGTGGAACAGAAAACTTCGGCTACACCATGGAGATCGGGCATCTCCTGAACCCTTTCTCCAACTTCTCTCTCAAACAAGTGCAAGGAAAGCACCTGTAGCTCTACTTTCTACCTCTATCTTTCTCCTCTCTAAGCCAAAAACAGTGGTTACTCAGTCCAAGCATGGACGTGGTAAAGAATCCCCCTTCCTTCCCCCGTATCTCCTCCCCCGCTCTTATCCATCGTGGTTTTGATCACAAATCGCGGTCCATGCTGTAAGTGGCTGAGTGGCACAGCACTTCTCAAGTCCGGGGCCTCCGCTGGGTGCAGCGTGATGTCGTAACAGCCGGACAGCCGGAGGCCTGTAAGTGGCGAATTGTGCTTCTCGTCTATCGTCTTCTCTGCTCTCTCCTGTTTTACTGTCTGCACTGTAGTTTAAACTCCTCCTTCGTGATTTGCCTGTTTGAAACGGATAACTCAAAAGTAGAAATCGAAATCAAATCAGTGTCTACATCGTCCGAAAATGAGAATGCCAAGAAGTGGAGCATTGGTCTCATTTTTGACCACAGTACCACTTCCAAGTGTGTGTAGCTGCATCCATTAAATGAGAAATGACTTGATATGGAACCCTACTTCCTCCCTCTTCTGCTTCCATTGTCCCCTTCTTTTTACGTCCTCCCTCTTTTGTTTTTTTTTTTCCCCCCTCCCACTTCTAAAGCTTCACTAACATGCTGAAGAACAAGCAGCCCACTGCGGTAAGCATTCGAGCCACCATGCAACAGCAACACTTGGCCAGTGCCCGCAATCGTCGGCTGGCCCAGCAGATGGAGAATCGACCCTCAGTGCAAGCAGCTCTTAATCACAAGCAGGTAAGGTGAAAGGTCTAAGAGCCAGAGGGACCTTGTGTGATGCAAAACCGTGTTAACTTTCCTACACACTCTGCATCCACTGTAACCTCGGTGAAAGGAGTGTTTCAATTTTTACTTCTGTCGTGTCAAGTAATTACTTTTTGTGTACTTAGCCTTCTAAATGCAAAGTAAAATATCTGTCTGGATGACTCCTTGGTTAACTATATTGAAGTTTCCAGAATAAGCAGCCAGTTTTTTTTTTTTCCTCACTTTTCTTTGGTCTAACTGTACCATAAATAACTCTCTGTAGAGCCTGAAGCAGCGTCTGGGGAAGAGTAACATCCAAGCCAGGTTGGGTCGCCCGATTGGGGCTCTAATGCGAGGAGGACCGGCTGGTGGGAGAGGAATGATGCGCGGGATGCCTAGGGGAAACCTCAGAGGAAGAGCAAGAGGAGGTGTAATGAGGGGAGCTTTATCGATGAGAGGTGTGTTTTTGTTTTTTGTCTTTTTTTCTTACCTCACCCAACATGTTGAAAACTACACCAAGTAGCTCACTTTTGTCTAATATGCAGTCCTGTCAACCCTTGTTTGATACAGGAGTCTCTTATGGGAATGCTTACATTGACCGTAGTTACATTTTGCAAGTTATTGTTGCTTTTTCTTGAAGAGAATTGCTAAGACAATCCAGTTTGACCATTATCAACACGACTTTGTTGTCTTTAATAGGAAAGAGATTGTCAACAGGTGTGCCAATGCGAGGACGCGGCTCTGCCGGCCGCCTGTCAATGCGCAGAGGAGGTCGCAATCGTGGAGGAGGCGCTGGTAGAGGAGGGCCTATGTCCAGGGGAGCACCAAGAGGTGTAGCCAGAGGTCAGAACTGGCTGCATTATTGACCCGGGCATTCTAAGTTACTTTTTTTTCTCTTAACAAGCCAGTTGATCAGTTCCATCTCCTCACAGGCCGCGGTGGACTGCGCGGGCGTGGCGGCTTCCCCGGTCGCGGTGGACGAGGACGGGGGCGGGGCGCAGGCCGGCCAGCCGTGACACGTGAACAACTGGACAACCAGTTGGATGCCTACATGTCAAAGACCAAGGGTCACCTGGACGCAGAACTGGATGCCTACATGGCCCAGGCAGACCCAGATAGTATGGAGTGACCTTTGAAGGACACTTGCTTGACACTATAGAAGTGTTGAGTGCAATATGCACATAACAGTGTGGCTATGTTGAGAAGTAATTAAAACAAAATGTGGTGATTGTCCTGTACTTGGCAGGAAATCAGAGTCTGCCCATTTTACTAGTCCATTCTGCATCAACCTGCTCCTGTATAGCTTTTATTCTGTGTCAGTGGACCTCGATAGATGTTAGACCACTGTTTCCACACTTCTGTATTGGTATTTTCTAAAGTGTGTCAAAACATGTTTTGTTTTTTTTTCTAAGACAGGATTGTTTATTGCTTAAAAACTGATTCATACGGTGTTGTTTTTATTTGTTTGTTTTTTTTTTAAACAAAACTGAGAAACCCTTTGTATTTGCTTTTAGTGTAAGTTGTTGTCATAACTTTTGAGATTTGATTACGGGCTCATCTAAATGTCTTCAATGCAATGCCAGGACACTTGATTCTTAATGTCAGCAAAAGTTGTCTAAAAGCCAATTATCCATTGTCATATTAATGATGTAAAAAAGAAAAGTTCTTACTTCTTCAGAGTGTTGGCTTCCTGAGCTTTGGGCTTAACATTTGTATGATTAAAAGTAAAGGGTTTTAAATTTTTGTGTTTTTGGTGGTTATTGCAGATTCAATGTTACCTGGTCCAAGATTATGTTTACCTTCTATGGTAGCATTTTGTATTTTTTACTGTAAGATTTAGGTAAATACTAGAAATGTATGGAAACATGAAAATTAAGTAATAATGTAGATACAATGTTTTTTGGAAAGAAGTTACAGATCCTGACATAAAACGGTAAAGTATAGAGTGCAGCATTAGATCCAGTAGACTCTACAAATTTTACTATTTTGCACAGTTGAATTGGGTAGAACACTCAAACCCCCTAGAACAGGCATGGGCGAACTAAGGCCCGTGGGCCGGATGTGGCCCACCAAACTTGTCCAAATTGTTATTAATTTATATAATCATTGTAGGTCTGTCATGTATTTTAACGCTCTATCTATCTGCGCCATCTCACTTGGCTCCCCCTGTCAAATCTTTGGACCAATTGTGGCCCACGAGTCAAAGTTTGCCCATGCCTGCTCTAGAATGAAACAATGAGTTTTAGTGCACCAAAATGTTGAATCTAAAGATATATTCACCATAAAAAATATGTTAATGGTTTGAGTTGTCAATATTCTATAGTAAAAACCTAGACCCAGATTAAATAAACTTGTTGGTCAGCACACACTGAGCCTTGGTTGTCATATTAGCATTACGCTAAAACTTAAAATTGGGTGGCTTAGCCAAAGCAATGAATTCCACCAGGAGTCAACGGTGGAGTCAACTATAAACAAGACCCCTTATATGACTAACAAATATGAGGTAAAATAACAATAATGAAAATAAAAGTCACCGGTGACTTTGTTTTGTGTAAAACATTTTGGAATTCCGCATTTGGGGAAAGGCCTCCATAATAGTGTTTTACCATGTTTAAAATAAGTGTGTAACTTAAATTCCGCTCAAATCAGTATCTTGATACTAAAATTAAAAATAACTACTCAGAAGTTCCCGCGTCCATCATAACAAAAACACAAAAACAAACATTTTGATTTAATTTTCTTTCAGTAGACACATACGCCATAAAATGCAACATCAGGTTATATGGAGTGGCCTGTAAAGTATCGCTGTTAGCTGCAAAATTCATTTTAAAGGAAAATATTCGATGAATACATGTTTTCTATTGTATTTTTCAGCCCCCAAGTCCTGTATTACCTAAACTGTACAGAAGCAGCTCGAATCACCGTTTGCTTTTAAAATTTACGAGTTACCCTGAACGCGTTTCGGGTTGCCAAAAAGTAGATTTAATTGACGTAACGCAGGGTATAAATGCCTCGGTGACGCAAAACACCGTTCTCTTGCTTGTGAGACGCTATTGGAAGGTGGTGCTGGGGTTTTTAAAAGTAAGTTTCCTTTGCCGTACTTTTCTATTCTAACTATTAATATCGTTTCGAATAAGTAAAACCATGTTACAAATCTGACTTTATTATTTTTTTTAATTAGGCGAAACGGAACACCACGTTGTTGTACAGCGAGCGGTCATTTTGTAGCTTCGTGTCGGCTAACACCTTCCATTGGAGATAGTGAGAACTTGTAGTAGCGTTCTTTTTTTTTTCTGGTCGGACAACGCGTTATGCATTTCACTTAGCCATTGTGAACTAAAAAAAGTATATATATTTAATCTTAAATTAGTGTGTTAGTACAATACTGTTTATTATTATTATTATTATTATTATTATTATTCTACCACGAGGTTTCCACACCGTTAGACTGTTTAGCTTAACTGTGTACTGCAACAGCCACAGTGCAGGCTTGCTTTTGGGGTGGTCCTCCATCGTGGACTGACCCACAGACGGCAGTGGCCAGAAAAAACCAGGTTTTGCTTTCACCTCGGCACAATGTACATATTGCTGAAAGGTGACAATGAGGCCTGGGACATGGGCTCCTGATTTCCGGTTTTTACATTTGGTGATTTTGTGAGTAGCTTGTAAGGAATAACCAAATATTGGTTAATAATCAGAAATAAATTATGGCTGACAATGTTATTTTTATTCCACTTTATGTGCATTTAAAAACCTAGACATTATTTTGAAATGAGAACATTTTAAGAATTAGCCATCTGCAAAGCTACATCCATTTACTGTAATTGCTTTATCGAATGATTGCTCATTCATGTCTTAAGTCCTAGTTCCATTCAAAAGTCTACAAAATGAACATATTTGAGGAAATATTTTGGCCTTAGGTTTGTCTTTGAAGCTAAAAGCCTCTAACTCTGTCAGCACTTTAAATCTGTATTTTTATTTGCAGTCCGTGATGACACAAATGACCATGTGGCGGTGCGGAGGACGCCATGGAAAAGTTACATGACTCAAAAATGAGGTTAGTTTTTCTAGTTACAATTGACTCATGTCCCTTGTGTCTAAGTGACTCCTTGTAAAAGCTAATTAGACAATAGAGACACAAGAATTAACAAAGTGAGCATCTTGGTGTTACGGCATAGTATGTACTCTGGTCCTCTCAAGTGGTCCTTTGTGTGCATATTGTGCCTAGAGCAATCATTCTCTTGCAACCCACTGCTGTTTATTATAATGGTAGTGTTACTTATGAGAACTCACAGCTGTTTAATTGTTAGTGTTGGTGTCCCCCCCCATCTCTTCTTCAATATTTACAATTTTTTTTTTTTTTTTTTTGTCTCACAGGTAAATGGGGGGAAAATAACAACATTGGACTCTGTGTGAGTAGCATGACAGAATAATCAAATCCCTGAAGTGTTATGATGATTAGCATAAATATGTTCAACTGCTCTGATGTGTGAGTGAGAGCTGCTTTTCTGAACAACACTAAAGCTACCTGGACTGTGATGCCAAACGACGTGTGGATGTTGTGAACGTATCCTCATGTGAATTGAATCTCTGCCTCCGACAGGTCCAGTCACCGTCCAGGCCTTATTACGTTAATGCAGAAACTTGACGTACAGGTTGAAGATGTGCAGTCTTTGACAGTGGTGAGTGGTTAATTTTATTTATGTATTTATTTTAAAAGAACAAGCACTGTGTGGTATCTGCAGCCAGCTGCTCAATGAGCTGGTTTGTTCAAAAGCCAGTGCAAGACCAAGTCAACACTTGGCATCGTTGGTCTCCATGCTGCATGTGTTTGGAGTCCTGGTATTTTTGTTGAGACATTTTCATCAAGAGTGCTGTATTGAAAATCATGCAATTAAATGAAAAGTTAATATTCACTTTTTTTTTTTTTTTTGGTTCTGTAGGTGTGAGCAGCAAAGGTTTGCCTCCTGGACCCAAACAAACGAGGTGTCAACGCGGTGAGTCGACAGGCATCGCTAGTGACAGGATTAGAAGTCCCTAACGGTGGACCTGAGGTCTATCCCGACAGACCTTTAACTGTAGGGTCATGTCGTTGGAAATGCCTCACAGACTATATCTGTGGTTGTGCTTTACCCATGTGTTCACTATCTTGGACATTGTGGGATATCACTGCAGAACATTTGATCAATTAAATCTTTCATTTTAAATGGATTGTGGATTGATTATAAGCTTGTTACTATCCTTTTGTCTAAAGGAAACAATTGCAGTATCATGCAGGAGACTTGAGGTTCCACTTCAAAGGGTAAGTTTTGTTGCTTTTTTTTTTTTCTCTCTCTCTCTCTACCCTCGTCACTTGAATTGGTCATATACCAAGGCTTTCAGGACTTCTGGTTTCTGACTTGCTGTGGACTTGACCATAAAACAAAACTTATCCCAGTGGACTTCTGCAGCAGTTTGCTGGGAAGATCTGCTGGGAACATGTTCTTCTTTATACTTTTTATTATTTTATTTTTAATAATGGTGTTTAATGAAAGCAATACTTTGTCATTTAGATATACTTTTAATAAAATACTTCCTTCATTTCCAGGTGCAGCAACAGCGTGGTGCAGCAGTCAACACAGCTACTGGAATTTGGCACAGATTGACAACTGTTTTGTTTTTGTCTTTAACAGTTGGCCTTGTAATGCTTGTATAAACAAATAAAGATTCTATTCCATTGTACAAATGGGTTATTTTTGTAGCACAAATTCACTAAATTACTGATACAGATGCAGCTGTTTTGGTTATAGGCCTATAGGCCACGTTAATTCAAGCGGCTTCTGGAGTAGAGGCAGTCTAACACAGTGATTCAGTACCTTGAGGATGTGGAATTATTTTTTTTATTTATCTATTTCCCCCACCCCCTTTTTGGTCTGGAAGGTACTTAATTTTTTTTATTTATCTATTCCCCCCCCCTTTTTGGTCTGGAAGGTACTTAAAAATCTACTACAATAATAGAACAATGAACATGTAAATATTAACCCACTAGGTGGCAGCAGATGACTTCAAACAAAACTCCGCTCAAGCTTCACATGAAGCAAAAAAAAAAAAAAATTAATTTAATTAAATATACTTTTTGTGACTGGTGGCCCTGAGATACTTTCACATTTCAAATATGTACTGTGACTCAAAAGGGGAGTACTGCTTCAGAATGTTGACTCATTATAAAAACCCATCTACATGCATAGACAAAACTAACATTAGTGAAAGTGAGTTATTTGTCATTGTGACGCAGCACACCACTGCATACAACGAAATGTGACCTCTAAAGTAGCTAAGTATCTGTCATGACGATTGTCAAACACTGAGTGCAGTCGGTTGTGCTAATTTTGGCCAGTAAGCGGCGACATAGGCAAAAAACAAAAAACAAAAACCCATCATAATGACTCAAAATGGGGGAACAATACTCGACCTTGATTATCTGGATGTTCTTTGTGAACTGCCACGCTAATAATATTTGTCATTTGTGATTCTTATTAACCGAAAAGAGCATCAACAGCATCACCTGGTATTGCGTCATATCTCATCAGCATTCCTCTTTCAATGACACCGACACAAACATATACACAGGAACATATTTGTCCTACAAAGAACGTTTCTTTTATAGAAATGGACAGAGCACGCTTCTTGTCTAAGAAATTCAGATTTACTGTAAACAAATTAAAGTACAGAGATGAGTTCAGTCTTTAAATTCCGGTGCTTTAATCAAATGTTGTCTATCAATTGATAAGAAAATATATATATATATTTTAGGCCAAAAATTTAGTTGTCAAATAAGTCATTTTCTATCTATCTACTTCTACTAACCTAGTATCTATCTATTGTAAATGTTCAGGTGAAGAAGCTTATTGAGTTTGTTGGGGGGGGGAAACAACCTCCGAGGTGTGTTGATTTCTCCACTAGGGGGCAATGCTGTTTATCTAGCTGGAAAAGGAGACCCTGCACATTTCCATATTAGATCAGGTTTCATCGTGTACTGCTATGAGGCGTCTTCTCATCTTGTCTCGTTTGTACAGCACAGCCTGGGGGAGGTTTTTAAACATTACGTTTCCTCTCACTAATCACATGCCTGCGAATGTACATAAACTTCGTGTTCCTCTTCCACAGTGAGCTGTTTCTTATGCTACCGCTGCAACTTCCTCTCATAACCACGTAGCTTTGTATCCACCTCATTCGTTGTCCCTTGACTGCGAAAGGTCTCTGTTTGCATATTTTCACTCACGATGCAAACATTGCACCTAGGTAGAAAGCGACCGTGTTCTTTTCTTCTCTACTAGACAAGTACAAACATGTCACGACAGAGTTACATAAGGAGGACCCTTCATGGCCTTTTCACAGAAGCAGATCAAGTTCTAAGAAGCCAGGAACTAAACTTTTTTTTAGCCATGTTTTTTGCTATTTCTGTATCTGGAAAACACTGTCAATTGCACAAGGCCTAAAATGTGTTGCATGGAAATTTCCCTGGCGGTACAGTAGTATTCAGAACTAAGTGGGTAAAAGTTCACACAGGGGAGCACGTCCAAAACAATTTCTAGTCCAGGCAATGACAGTGGGCGGTGCAGGCCTCGGAATACCAAACAAATGTCGCACAGGACACCGATATAAAATGCCCAAATGCCCAATTAGTCATGGTTAAAGACTGTGCTATTGATGGAAGTATTATTCAGTATAACTTTGTCTTCAATACCAGTATCCAATGATGTAAGTCTGTTTTGTCAACTGTTGTTTTCAAGGTTAATTATGGAGAAGGAGGCATGGGGGAACTCTGACAAAACAGGTGTGAAGTCGTCATTGTTATGGAAAGGTTTCATGGCCTCATGACCTGTCAATGTTTTGGTACTACTCTTCTAAAGGTCAAACCATAAGATTGACCTTCTGTTGTCCTATTGTAATCTTTTACAGTGTTATATGTGTTCACTTTTGAACTTTTTTTTTTTTTTTGGTATAGACAGAGGATCGACTGGGGACTTGAACTGAAACTAATCTTAGACGAACCCTGAACACATCTGTAGTCCATCAAAGATCCCATTCTCAAATATGATGGGGAAAAAAAACCCCCAGCAATTTATTGTATAAAAATGGGATGTGTCAGAGGAAATAAATACACATAGTTATAGTTTTTCTATAAAATATATTCCAATACATATTATATCATATAGAACGTTCAGTATGGTATACTGTGTTTGTACATTAGTTTAACATTGAATGTCTCTTTTCATTCTATAAATGTACTAGTTTTTTCCTCCTCTAGTTTTTGTCTTTTTTGTTGTTGTTGTTTGTTTGTTAAAATGTCACGAGAACTGTAAGCACAATGATAATGAATGATGCCCTGCGGGGTTTTGGCTTAGGCAGACGGGTGTTTCACATTCAGACTATCCCTTCTGTCCTTTCCTGGTTTCTCTGTTCACTAACGTTCTGTTCTCTCCGTCTTCTTTTCACTTCCTGTGCATGAGCTAATCCATTTGCCACGCGGTGTTCACGTGCCACTCCTGAGCGCCGATTGGTCAAAACTGACACAAACAATAGTTCTCCACCAATGGCAGCCGTGTGCATGCGCTGAGCCACGCTGTTAAGCTAGGCTGTTTGTGTCCAAGTAAGAAAATTAAAATATTCTGCTTTACTCACGTATTCCCAGAGAAAAATATAGACAGTGTGCTGGAAAATAAAGAAATGAGTAAACATAGATTTAGATAGTTTGTCTATAAAATGTTTTCTAATAAATATTATACTAGATAGAACATTCAGTGTGAAATACTTTGTGGCTTTTAACTCGTTTTTATACCATTCAATGCCTCGTTCGTTTTATTAACGAACTGTGAAGGTATCTCTTTTAGTTTCTCTCTTCTAGTTTTTGTCATATCTGTTTAGACGATTACCTGATACGTGCCCTGTGGGGTTTTGGATTAGTCAGACGGGTGTTTCACATTCAGACCATCCCTTCTGTCCTTTCCTGGTTTCTCTGTTTACTACTGGCGTTCTGTTCCCTGCATCGTTTTTTTTTTTTTTTTTTTTTTTTTTTGCTTCTGATGCATTTGCTCAGCACGCACTGAATTCTCACAGCCACGCGGTGTTCACGCGCCACTTCTGAGCGCTGATTGGTCAAAACCGACACAAACAAAGATTCTCCACCAATAGCAGCTGTGTGCACGCGCTGAGCCATTCTGTTCAGTAGGGCAGGTCGTACCCAAGTAAGGCTCGTCATATAAAACCTACATCGAGCCTTTGTTTACAACATATCCAGAGTAGAGAGCGAGACGATAGACGTCGTACACGCATATATTTTATTTTTTTTACTGTCGTTCGTCTTTTGTATCAGCAAGTTGCAGCCATGGTGGCCATGACGAAAAGGTTGAAAACCTTTCAAATCGTATTTACGGACCCGAGTAAGAGTTTTTACTGCGGCGGAGAACGGGTGTGTGGCCGCATCGAAGTGGAAGTGAACGAAGTGACCAGGGTGTCTGCTGTGAAGGTTTTGGCTTTGGGTTCTGCTAAGGTCGAGTACCCTAAAGGCAAACAGCGGTGCCGACAGGAAGCTGAGTACCTACGACACACCGAGGTCCTGCGAATGGTCGACCAGCCATCAGGTATGGAAAAACACCACCTCTACTGTTAGTGTTACTAGCTAGTATTGCTGCCTAAATGTGTTTCGGACTTAAATGGAAATTACGATAGTCATTATCAACGTTAACCATGGTTTAATCGTGTTTATTAGAAACCGCTGCACTCAGTTAGCATACACTGCCAACTTTACTAGGCTGAAAAGAATTTAGGTCTCATTCATTCTGTTATTTACGCTCGCGCAGCTTACATTGACGTGCCAAGGCTTACAGAATGAGGTCATGCCAGATAGGGCACACCGTGGTTATTTATTTACAGTGTTGGTTAGAACACCTGTCAGTGTCAGTAAACTACACTAGAAACAGGACCCAGGGCAACTGTACCAGGCCATAAACAAGTCACACACAGGATACTTGACTGGATTCTTTTTTTTTTGTTTCCAGATGATGACGGATCAGTCATCCTGAGACCTGGCAACAAATATGAATACACTTTTGGTTTCGATCTTCCGTCCAGTGGGTGTGTATGAGATTCTATTTACTTGACTATTGATGAGAACACACGTACCCTTTGAGGTTTTTATTTTAATCATGTCTAAATGTGTGGCCGCAGGCTGGTTTCTTCGTACAAGGGAAAATTTGGATATGTCCAGTATTACGTGAAGGGCCTGTTGGAGAGGACACGTCAACCTACACTGGAGTGCAAGAAGCCGTTTGAGGTGGAGGAACCTTTGGATGTCAACACTCCAGACCTTTTGGTGAGTTGCTCAATAGCGAACGGCTAAGCATTGTTGTTATCAGCCCTTCGCCCAAATGAGTCATTCGTTGAACCGATGTCTCACTTCCTGCATTTTCTCAGTCCCCCACAGGCGGCATGAAAGAGAAGAAAGTCACATGCATGTTCATCCCTGATGGTCAAGTGTCACTAAATGCTAAGATCGATCGCAGCGGTTTCTGCGAAGGTGAAGACATCTACATCAACGCAAAGTTTGAGAACACCTGTTCTCGGATTGTGATTCCCAAGGCTGCTATCATCGCCAAGCACACTTATCAGGCCAATGGTCGAACCAAGGTCTTCCGCCAGAAGCTCTCTGCAGTGCGAGGAAACCACATCATCTCTGGCATGTGTGACGCATGGCAGGGCAAGACCATCAGGGTGCCCAAGATCAAACCATCCATGCTGGGCTGCAACATTATTCGTGTTGAGTATGCACTAATGGTAAGCATGCAGCTTTTGCATAAACATGTTTAGTACATTATTCCTCTGTGTTTAAAATGTGATATAAATGATTGTCATTGCCTTCTAGATTTATATCCACATCCCTGGAAGTGAAAAACTGATTCTAGAGCTACCACTGGTCATTGGGACTTCAGGACTGGGCAGCCGCAGCAATAGTGTGAGCAGCCAGGAGGGTTCCGTCAGTAATGCGTCTCAAAGCTGGGTGTCTCTCAGGTTCCCCTCAGAGCCTCCGAGTTACACTGACATCACACGCGACTGCCGCCTGGAACAGCCCCTAACGCCACTTTTGGACGACTTCGATGGAGACGAAAGCCCCATCTTTATGAACACCACGGCCTTCCACTATCCTCCACCGCCTGTTTACACAGAGGTAGGTCTCTCAGTCACACGGGTTGAACATTTAAATGTCGGTCTACCTCGCAAAAGCATCACTGGCTTATCATTTTTTGTTTGTTTTTTTTTGTGCAGACCGAGGAGGAGTACCGCATGCTGCCTGTGTGCTGAAGATAAGGTGCAGCTGTCGGAGTCTGTGTTCATTTAGGGCACTTGAAAAGAAGCAGAATGTCCACATGGCGAGACGTGGCGAGACGATGGTAAATTGAAGCAAGGAAGCCTCCCGTCTGTTCTTCCAGTCGCCTTTGCCGCTGCATCATCGCAGCCGATCCGTCTACAGTCTTCCTCTTGGCGATCAAGTTGAAGCAACGTCATCTGTGCTTCCTGACATTTCCTGAAAGGCTGTTGCTTTAAAGACTCACACTGTTTGGGGTCTTGCTGTCCATTTACAGCCCCTTCATATCCATGTGTGTTACTTGGGGCCAACCGTGGTATAAGTCAGCCCCTCCCTCCCAGTCTGCTGTGGCATCATTGTTTTTTTTGGGGGGCTGGGGGGGTTGTCTTCTCCTCATGATATGTCATTCCAGTTAAGTGCTGCGTTTGCAGAAGTTCTGTAAAGGGCTACTGCGACATTTGTTCCCTTTATAGAATAAGCCTCATTATCTGTCCAGTAACAGCATCTAAAAGAGTATATACATATATTTTTTTGCTGTCTTAATGCACTTTCTCGATTGACGCATTTGCTTCCATTACTGCCTACAAGTTTGTTTGGTTTGAACAATTTTTGTCTTGTGGTGATTCGTTACATACTTTTGATTTCTGAGAACCTCTGAGATTGAACTTTTATACTCCAGTTTGGTGGTAAGCTGTATCTTCTTGCATATGCTGGACACTCGCGCGATCAGATGCTGGTTACGTAAGAACATTCATTTGTACATTGTAAACAATCTGCAGTTGTCCTAGACAACATTTCACTGTGAGATCGCCTCTGCGCTTTTGCGTGACTTTTCTTCTTTTAGGGCGCAAAGAGAAATTACTGTTAAAGACTGATTTGTAAGAAGTGTTTGCAATGCATCCTTTAAACTTACAAGTATTTTTGTATGAAACCCCATGGGTTGTTTTTTTATAAATAAAGACATTTTCAAATTTACAATCGCGAGGTCCTCTTTCTTTTGCCAAGATGGTCTAGAGACCTGTTTAAAAAAGTAATCCAAAAGTTGTTAAAGTGACGTGTAAACGTCTTTGTAAAGTTGGCAAGCTCAAAGATATAAAAAGGAAATGATGCTAAGAGTAGTTTAGCAGCCCTAACACAGACATACACTATCTAGCTGCTACAGCATAATAGTTTTGAAGCCTAGAGCGTTACCTTTCCTGGTTTTGTTGGGTTAGTGTGAATGAGAAATGATATTATAATCAAAGAAATGTGTGCCACGTCAATAAGGTAAGTGTTGCTTGTCAACTTTTGCCCAAAAATGCTAAAAAAAGAAAAAGTCCTAGAAATACCTCAAAATGTCAAAATATCACCAAAAACATCCTGAGTTTTGTTGTACCAACTGTGTCAGAATGACAATAAAGGCTGTTCTATTATTTTCTAAAAACAAACAAGACTATACCGTTACTATCACGAAAAAGTCCTAAAAAAGAAAAAGTCTAGAATATCTCAAAGCTTATATACAGTTTGTTGGTCACACAACACTTGGAATGATCATCGCCTTTGCACTTTATAGCCATGGGGTGATCACGCGCCACTTCTGAGTGCTGATTGGTGAGAGCTGACATAAGCAAAGACTCTCCACCAATAGGAGTTGTGTGCCGTCGTGAGCCTGGTTCAGCGCAGGCCTGTTCAGTTTGTCAGGTCAGGTCATTGCCTGCAGTTGGAATGTTTTCGTATTGGTGTTCTGTTGTTCTCCTTAGATTTGCAAAGAAACTAGTTCAGACAGGTTCTGTGACCTGTCTGCAAGCGTGGTCAGTGTTCCACAAAGTTATGTCAACAGTCAGCATGCACACCTTTCTTCAGTACTTCTCCATTTGGTACAGCATAACAGCAGCATTCAATAACAGTATAAACTGATATGGAAACTTAATCTAATGAATATATTGTAAAGGTTGAATAAATGTATTTACAATCTCTTAAATATGAATATATATATATATATATATATATATATATTCATTTTAAAGAACAAACAATGTTGTTTTAGTTTATTTATTTTAAATATGTGACGTGTAAAGGCTTGATGAAAAATAGGTCACGAAATGTTGTTTTATTTATAAATTCAGCCTAAAATGAGTTAATATTCTTAATTAGCTAATGCCTGAAAACACGCTTCCAAGTGAATAATTTGTGCAAAAAAACTCAACAAAAAACATTTTATGTGAACATGTCAAAATATCACAAAAAAGAAAACAAGGAAGACTATAGTCTTACTATCACGAAAAAAATCGCGCAGATATTGGAACGTTTGTATACCGAAAATAGGAATACGTTGCACGGTTCTTATTTCCGGTTGTGGAACACTGCCGCATGAGACACGAGTGTAGTGTGGACTCGTTGGCTAAATCAGATTGATTGAAACGGTGGGTTTTTTAAAAAAAACAATTGTCAATTGTCAATCCTCTCCTTGAATCGCAACCTTAACGTGGTGGAGGGGTTTGAGTATCCGAATGAACCTAGGAGCTATGTTGTCGGGGGCTTAACGCCCCTGGTAGGGTCTCCCAAGGCAAACAGGTCCTAGGCGACGGATCAGACAAATAGCGGTTCAACCCCCCCTTTGTGATGAAGAAAAATACAGC